AAGTGCTATTTTGCCTTCAAGTACATATCTCAGTGTAAAAAAGTTTTAAGAAAACAAGAATCAAATACGTATCGAAGACATGTAAAATTTCACAGGGAACAGCAGAAAATAGTAAGAGCTCCATTAGGCACTGATGAACCAGTAAAATCAAAGAGGGCTTAATGCAACAACCTTTTTAACACTGTACAGTTATGCTGCTAACACACACAGCATGATCAAAGCTTTTCAGAGGGGATAAAAAAACCCATCCAAAACAACTTCTAGCAAACTCCCAAATAAATTCTCCAAACGGAGCACTCAATTACCATCAGGGGAGCTACATTCCAGCTATGCTAACAAATAAGAATGAACATCTCAGGTTATTTAAATACAGTATCATTGGGTAGCAGCCTACACTTTTAAGAGAACACAAGCTCCCTAGGGGAAGAGAACATGAATATTTTCATACCTAGAAAGCAGGGAGTTCCCTAATCTAGAAAAACAACAGCTAGTCCTCACCATTCCAGAACTTTTAGATTCTTTAAGAAATTAAAACAAAATTAGTTTAGCAACCTGTAAAAGACTCCCAAACTAAAAAGCCAGGTAGCAGAGATGCAAATATCCAAACCAGCTCTGATGTAAAGATGCCTTACTTTCATTCTCTAAGCAAAGAGAGACTGTTACCAGCTGTATCACACTCCCAGTTTGATTCCTACGACCTCCGAGTCTCAGGTGCAACAATGCAGGAAAAAAAATGAACTCTCACCTTTCTTCTCTCTGGCAATTTGTCGCACCTCTTCTCTGAACTCAGAAAGAACTTGTAGGTATGGCATCACTGTAGACTCAATCTGCAGGATAATTATTTCTACAGTTAGTTAATCATCATTTAGATATAAAACATGTCCTTACCCACTTCATATTTATGTACTGTTGGATGGAACTTGACCCTCAGGGCAGATCTGTATCAATAAAAACTGTCATTGCTCTACTGATGTCAAAGGAGAGTTGATAATTTGCATTAGCTGTCAATTTTCCTTTTGTGCAGATAAAACCAACTTGAGAAGTTTTGCCTCTCCCCATTCTTTGAGGGGTTTGAACTAGATGATTTATAAGGTCCCTTCCAACCTAAACCATTCTATGATTCTATTTTACGATTCTTTTTTTGTCTCCTTTCGGTTACAGATACATCAGTTCCACAGGGTAATGCTACAGTCCAGCTAATTATAATGCAGCACAGGGATAAAAACAGCACCCAGATGAATTTGCACCTTCACGTTCTGTGTTGTCTTACTTAGGTCTAACTGCTTGTCTGACATAATACCAGGTGAAACTGATGTTAGGACTTACGTTCATTAGAACTCAGATTTGTTCCTCAGATGTTAGCTTATGCTAATTGTATGTGTTTCCAGTACAGTGCAGTTGTCTGCATTCCTCACATTACTCCCTCCCCCACAAAAAGTGGGGAGAGATTACTGTTGAATTATTTCAGGTGTATGTAAATACTGGTCAAGAAACCTCAAAGAAAAAGTCCTGAGATTCCTGCTCTCAATGGTAGTGAATAGCAACAGCAAGCAGTTAGTGAACAGCAATTACAGAAACAACTACAGACTAGCGCTGTCTGCCAACACTTCTCTGGAATCCCAAGAGGAGAAGCCAGGCACCCAGGGGACTGCTTAAATTAAAAATTTCATTACTTCGGAGGGTGGGGGAGAGAGAGAAAAAAAATGCACTCTTTTATTTGCCCTGCAGTTTCCACATCTCTTTCCCATCTGTTAAATCTCCATGACAAATTTCTCTGTAATTAACAGACAATATAGTCTGTTATGCTCTAAAAACACCCATATGAAAGGAGCTGAGGGACTCCATTAAAACTTTTCATACATGTGAATACTACGCTTCCAGCTTCACAACAAGAACCTATGCTGACAAGTTTGGCAGAAAAATCAGACTCTGGAAAGTGAGCAACAGTCACATCTCCACTACTCCCTATACATTGAAACTAGCTCAACAAGCAAATGAAGTGGCATCAGGAAAGTATGCACTGTCACTACTTCATCAGATATTTAAAGATGAAAGTTTTTTATTTCCAGAATAACTAACCTGACAGCAACACTTAATTAATTTGGAAAATGAGACTATGGAACCTGAGGTTTTCTGACTTCAAATCTCTTCTATACCCTTTCAGGTAAACTACGGAACCATGATAATTAAGCTAGTTGTTCTTTCAGAGCTTTTGAAGACAATTATGCCTTTTTTTGAGATAATTACTCTATTGGTTCCTTCATCTCCAATTTAGACAAAGAAACAACAGGCCTGATCCACAGCCTGCTGTGATAAATGAGAAGTTTTCCAACCCTGAATGTTCACCTGGTAATTTTTGCTAAGAAAAATAAGTATCTGCATGGAAGACTGAAAGAGGATATAATATTTAATGAAACAGCCAAAACATTTGTGACATTATGCATCCTTATATTATAACTCTTAAAGCCAGTAATGTCTTGGGTGATACAAACATAAGTTTCTTCCTGTGAAGGAACCTGTGTGTAACAGGGGTTAAGACAGGATTCTTCTGACAAGTGTGCTAACAGGTGTTAGCACAGGATTCTTTCTGCACAAGATTCTTCTGACTCTACTACCCTTGGCAACGTTACTTTAAAAGGAGTGAAAGGCCTTAGCTTCTTGTTCCAAGCTATTGCCAATCCTTCCATAAAGCACGTGTTGTAAACGCTGCCTGAAGGAAGTGCTAAATACAAATTTAATTTTCATTTTCCCTAAGAAAGGTGTTAAGGTGCTGCCTTTCTTCTGAAATTCAAAATAATTCTGAGCTAAATTAAAATTCACTATTAATGGGTTTTGGTATGGAATACGGAGCATCTTCCTCATTATCCTTGTTATATCATTACTGGAGATTTCCACAGCACAATAATGTAAGTATTTGCATGGGCAATTATCAGATGAGTGTTCATTCACATTCTTCAACTACAATCAAGCTTTCCTCTTCCTTTGATGTTCCTTTGTTACATCACAGATGTTTTAATTATCCCCTTTAAGGAGGAACAGAAAAACATACGGTCACACCTTTGAGTGCAGAAAAATACTTGAAAAACAGCACTGATTTGTCCATACCAAATTTTTCGTGTGAACAAAGACAGCAAAGGTGATAGCGTTCATACAGAGTTATTTCTGCTGCCTACACCACAAACATTACTGTTATTACAGGGCCCATCAGCACTTTCATCAGGTATCTTCCAAGTATTTCCAGAAAAATTCTGCATCACAGTGCAACTACTGGGTGACCAAAGCTAAACAGCCTTCAAAAGCCAGATAAAAACTGCGGCTACAAATGAGATCAGAAGAAGAGATTGAAATGTGGATAAAATTCCAGCTGCCTCCAGGCTGGTTTTTGGTGTACCACAAGAAAGTTTCATCACTATAATTATTTTTTTGAAACTACCTGACATACAGATACTTGTAATGAGTCTTTAGACAGTAGCATGTGCTGCCTGTAGTTAACATGTGGTTTCTTAAACAGACTCATCATTCACAAGACAAGATAATTCTTTTTCTGGTTGCTATTCAATTTGTCTGTCATTAAGTCAAACAAACCTATAAAAAACCCCAACTGTCATAAAAGAAAAATCCTGCTTCGTAAGCCAGTTTATTACTTCAGATTCAAATATTAAAAGTGGAAAGAATGTAATTCAGCTACATATCAGTAATGTAATCACTTTTCTAACCTAAGCTTTCAAAGGACACAGAGTAATTCTGTATAGCGTACTTTGTCCTTCACTTACATTTATGTTTTGAGTATTCCCTCCAACAGGAAAACCAATTGCATCATCACTTCCTATGGCACCAAAAATCTGGTCAAGGAGGGAAAAAAAAAAAAAAAAAGAAAAGGAGAGATTGTATACATCAAGTCACATGTATGTGAAAACTAAGCAAAATCACATGTACTAGGGTTCTGAAGCCACCTCGTTCTCATTTAACCACAATTCACTGCTCTAATAAGATGCTTTGTTTTTTAATTGATACAGCATACTAAGCACTGGCTTTCAGATTTAGCTTTACAACTGTCAGATTTGACATACTGACCTCATATTTTTTGTACTGTCTAATTTTCCTTGCACATATTAGGGGCTCTCCACTATTCCACAAAACATTTGCTGAAATTATAATGTAACATAAAGGACTCCAAATTGTTCCTGATGCAACAAACACTATAATTTGCGGTTGTTTTCGTTGGGCGGTATGTGTAAGGTCTCTAGTTTCCTACAAGATTTAAGCAAAGACTGTACAGATCGCTACATACTTGAAAAATTAACAGTTATAATTGCACAGTGCAATAGCAATGTTACTACTTGCTATTACATACCTTTAGCATTTGAGTGAGATAGGAACTGATGTTTTCTAAAAGAAGTCTGTTTGGCATTTGTCTGGAAGATTTCTTTGCAGCAATATAGGAGTTACTCTGACTGACTAACGAACGCATTTCTTCTAAGACAGAGCGAGTGTCAATATTGTCACACAGCGCTTCATGAATTGCTGCCTTCTTGTCGTAAAAACTAAGAAGAAAAAAATTTTTTTACTATTGACATCAAAAGTATCTGCAATGTACTCTGAAGAACTTCCGTTAGAAGAGTAAGGGGACCAAAAAGTGAGATAATCTTTTATTGGTCATAGTTTATATTTGAAGGAAAAACAGATGAGCAAGAAAAAGGCATTATCACAATGCTGCTGTTTTGGTGCTATGGTCAAAGGCAGGCAGGGTAATCTATTGGCAACAACTATCCAAAGAAATTACATTGAACACTTTTTCAGCAACTGGCCTTTTCATACCAGTTTTTAAAAGCAGTATAAATTGTTTATTTAGTATTTTCTTGTGCTTGCTTTTTTTCTTGGTGTTTTGGTTTTTTTTTTTTGTCCTCCTATCCCTATGTACCAGCCAAATAGTCTCTTTAGTAGCTTTCCAGCGAGGAGCACTGATTTGGACGTTACCCTACCACAAAGTGAAGTGTTATGAAGTTGTTACAAGCAGATATAAGGAATAAATTTGTGTAAAACTTTGTAATCTTGATTAATAACTACTGTTTCAAACAACATACTTTTTCCAGAGAACAGAGAATGAGAAGTGGTAGAGAAAGGAGACAAATACCCATGAAGCATATCTTCTGTTCCTCGCACTCCTTTGTCTCTTTTCTTTTGACCTCTCTATTACTTAATATCCTCCCCTTTTTAAAAAAAAGTGTTATCTCTACCAACCTCCAGCTGAAGATGAAATTTTAAGAGGACATCACTAAACAGAAGTACCTGCACTTGGTCCTTCAACAGCCAACGTGTCTGTCCACAACAGTGAACTGAACTAGGAAAAATTGTAGTACTGCAATGTAAGATGCTTCTATTTCAAACTTCACTCATAACAGAAGTCGTACAGGAAGTATTACAAACAATATTGATAGTTTTGTTATAAAAGTGAAAGACTGCAATATTGATATCACTGTCTGTCTCAGTAACACATTATCAAACATCAGCACTCTGATCTTTTGTGCTTTTAGTCAGGTCATTTAACTTCTGTTTGTCTCGGTTTGCTCACTGCACTTTGAAATGTGTACAATACTATTTTTCCAGTTGTGGCCACTGTAAGTTATTGGTCACTTGTCAGACAGAAAACATAAACAATAGGGAAATTAACAATTTCATCTATACTTCATAAAGCTGTTGCAAGATTACATTCACTAGCTTGTATAGAGTTGGGGTACTCAGTGGATACGCTACAGACTTATAAATATCACTATATACATAGTAAGTAATTTTGCAAAGTAAAAAAAATAATCAAACATGTAGCTACACAATCGTTATTCACAGAGAAGTAGGAATGCTCCACTCACTTTTTGTTGAGCTCTGCTTCCTGATTTTCCCATTTCTGAAACTGGCCTGTCACATCAGCGGGAGCTCGAAGAATATCCTTCACATTTAAAAAGAACTCCTACAGAAGAAGAATATAGCTAAAAATCAGTTTAAATTACACACAATCAATATTTACTACGAAAAGACATTATTTCTTAATTAGCCTCCTAAAGTTTATGGTTTCAACACTGTTTCAGCCAGGATCTACTGAATGTCTGTCAAAACAAGGAAACCCACACATTTTGCATAATTCTGCAAATCACAGTTGGACTGTAATTCAGTTCTACCTCTTGGCTCTGCCACTGCATGATACACTATGATATTCTAACACCAAGCTGCTCAAATACAATAACTTTTTAATGAAGTTTAGACACAAGTTTTTACAGCAGTTTTTTAAATGCATTGTTAAGCAATGGAATCTGAAGAATAAAAATTGCTTTATAGCGAGGACCTATTTTACGTGGGCACCCAGCTTGGTGAAAAGTAATTTCCACTTAATCTGTGGCCCAAACCAAACATTTTACATAAAAAGCAGAATTGCTGATCTCAGTCTCTCCAGCTGAAGCTATCTCAACATGCCATACAGCCTTCTTGTGGGAAACGTGGGTTTAAATCATGGCTCCAAACTAAGCAGGGAAAGGAACTGTGCCTGACCCCTCACATATGCCCACAAGGCACAGAGGCAAATGCTCGATGTATGTGGTGAGGAGACAAGGTAGGAATGATACTCCCTCTTCCCCTTTCACTGTATTTGTATAAAGTCTGATGTGTTAGACGTGATATGAGAGTGTTGGACTGAGTCCTATAAGCAAGCTGAACTGAGAAACTAATCTTGCATGTAAGTGCCAAGCTGCTCAGAGATGTCAAAACTCAGAGAGAGCGCCCAGCTGCAGAGAAATGTAGCTGTTTGTGGAATTTCCATGACTTGAATGTTCAATGGTGGCTAAGCAGATACTGTGACATCCCACCTGATGAATTCAGAAGGCAAATTCAGTCTGTGGATATGGCCTATATATCCTTGGGCTCTACTCCTTGAAACACATGTGACAACACAAAGCTTAGCAAGCTGGTGGAGGAACAGAAAGCTTACTCACATTCATAAACTTCTCATACTGAATAGCTGACTCCATGGTATTATTTGAATAATCCAGTGTATCCTTCCAAGAGTGCATGAGGAAAGCCAACCGTAACTGTCGTGCTATTAGGAGTTTCAGAATAAACACAGAAAATAATCATAATCTAAAGCATTTTTATGTCCTCCAATACTGCACTGGCTAAGAACATAACAATTTTCTATATTCTTACTATCAATACATTTACCAAAAAAGGAAGAACACTATTATACATACAGGTAATACCGACAAGGAACAGAAAAACAAGGAAGCTGTTCTGAAGTTAGCGAAGAAGACAGACACCTGAAGTTAGCCATTTCTGGAAACTCCATTATGTGCCTGAATTAACAAAACTACCACAGTCACCACTCAAAGTACACCAAAAGCATTCAAATTCCAAAGTAATTTTTACCTGTATGTTTCTTCAGTGCATCTTTTATGGTAATGAAATTCTTCAAAGATTTGGACATTTTACAGCCAGCAATTGTTAAGTGGCCAGTATGCAGAAAATACCGAACCCAGTGATCGTTTTCAAAGTAAGCCTGCAGCAAAACCAAAAAACCCCAAAGATCCAACACTGTTTACATGCATACCATTAAGTAGGATAATTTAAGACTAAAATCCTGAGAACAAAAAAGCTATGCTTATACAAAACACACAAAGTTCTAAAAATTAATTGATGGATTTGTGTAAGTTGCAGTCAAACAAAGCAAAGCATGTTGCTTTTTCACTGCAGAAACTTCAGGCCAGTTCTTTCACCTCAGACTGTGCCAGTTCGTTGTCATGGTGGGGAAATCGGAGATCAAACCCTCCTCCATGAATATCCATCGACTCTCCTAGAATGGATCCAGCCATTGCAGAACATTCAATGTGCCAACCTGGACGACCCTGTTAAGAGAAAGACTTGGCTACTACTTAATTGTTTTCCTCTCCTGCCTATGTATCATTCCTTCATTGGTCTGTCCCAAAATAGTTACACACCTAAGGAAATGAGATACAGTGTTACCAAGAAAAAAAGATTCTCAGTCTCTACTTCATAAAAGTACACTGTTCGGTTTAAAGATCAAACATGGCACATACATCTGTGATGCTTTGATTATCCTGCTTATTATTTGTTTTAAAATTACATTAATATTTTTTATCACAAGAAAAAAAGGATATAGAAATTGCTGCAGATAAAGCATGCAGATAAATAGAGGAAAAATGACCAGTAACAGCCATCGTGAGCTTGCATGCAGACTTCTGTTTAAAAAGTGTCAAACAGACAGACTGATACATATTATAAATTATCAAATGAACGTAGCAACAGAATCTACTATTGAATACAAGATCTCCATAACCTATACATTATTAATATGAGGTAAGGTAAAGTATAACTACAACATACTATGTAATAAGGTGTAGAAGATCTAAATCCTGATTATAATGTCCTTACCTTTCCCCATGGAGAGTCCCATGAGGGCTCTCCTGGCTTGGAGGATTTCCACAAAGCAAAATCATTTGGAGAATGCTTCTCACTTAAGCGATCAGCTGAGATGCTCAGGTCCCCTTTCAAAAGAGAAAATGTAAATATATACATCATCTGTTGGGGTAAGGACAATCATCACAAATGAGTCAAAGCAGCTAAGCCGACAAGAAATAACTTGGCGTATGCATAACTCTTGGTTAGTTACGTTACATTAATCACTCAGCATTGGTTCCTATTTGCAAAGGGACACAGCAATTCAATAAAAGTGACTCGTTATGTGGTAGAAATGATACATTCGTGTATTCACAAAGACAGTGGTTTAAGCTAGCACCTTTTATTTCACATGTACATAGAAGATTTCACCTATAAGGGTTTGAATTAAGAAGAAATAAAAAAAATCACATCCATTTTAAGCTGTATCTCTCAGATATTGCTAGTTTCACCTAGCATGGGTGCCCTAATTGCACCTAGTATGAGTGTTATATAAAAACCTTTTAATATTTTTCTGATAGACTTTGGGGATGATTTTCTACTAAAACTGTACAACCTTAGGAGCAGATAACTAATGAGTTTGGTTTATTGACCATTTTAAGCTACTTCTCTGCTATGGCTCAACTCAAAAAAATCTGTATTTGGATTTAGTTCAACACAAACAAAGTTTACAAAGTAAAAGGAGTTCTCAATACGAAAGAGGAACCCAAATATTTGTCATGAAATAACCATTGCCTGGTGTGGAAAGCTTTCACTTGGCATGTGCAAAAACCCAGCTTCAAGTCTTTCCTCCTCCTACTTTGAATCAGATGAACAGTCAAGTGACTGGGCTATAGTCAAATGACTGAGCTATTCACAATTCTGACCAAAAAACCCACAAACACCAACCCAAAACCATCCTAGAACAAATCACATTTCTTTGTATTCTCCAATTAAAGACTTCCAGGAAAGTGCTGGCTCAAGCTACAAAACTTTGGAAAAGGAACCTGCTGGTAAAGGAAGTGCAGCAGGTAAACCATTCAACTTTGCCATTAACTGATCCAAATGAAAATCAGTTGAAGAGATCAACACATCATCAGTTTCTTCAGCAACTTAAGCAAATTTTATTTCCCCTTTTTACCTTCACCCTCTTGCAGAGCTTTTTGATCACCTACAGCTTCAGGAACCAACTTAGCATAGGAGTGTTTTTTACTGGAATCAAACTTCATAGTATCAAAGTATACAGATCCATTGGACACATACCTGAAAAGTTAAAGATCATTATTCAGCTAACTTTCTACCAAGACTTAACTGAATTTCATCCCCAAAATCACTATCTTAAACTCAAGTTCTCTAGTGAAACCATAAGATGACTTAGGTGAGCCTAAGTTTTGAGGCCTAACCACAAAAGACTTCAGACAAATCATTGGAAGTCATAATAAACTTCGTCAAAGAGAAAACAACTAACATCTTTTGGTAAACTCTTAAGTGGTGAGACCTCAGATAACAGTCTCAAGAGAAGAAATATCTACAATACTTCTGGTCCCTTTTAATATTTTGCAACAATGAAATGAACCATGTTTGTTTCACAGTCCATTTTGACCTCCATCACTTTGCCATAATTTCTCTTGCATGTTCTTCCTTTACACCTACATTTTAAGATTTTCTTAGAAAGAAAAAAAAAAAGGAGGATAGTTCAAAATTGTTTGCACTGAATCACCAGCATTCCTGGTGGTCCTGAAACCTAGCATTGTGTCAGAGTTTTTATTATGGCTGTAGTGGGACAAAATTAGCAGTCTGAACCATAGGTTTGCTTTTTCACAACAAAAATACATCCATGTTGAAAAATTGAGGCTATTAACAGAAAGAAAACTCAAAAATTTCAGACATAAATCTATCATGATACTTAGGAACTTCTGGAGTAATAGCTTGATTTTCACAAATATTAGACAATGTCAGAAAACCAGTTCACAATTTTTTTTTTTAACTTATGTTATTTACAGCTAATTTCTAGCCATCTACTTAGGCATCCATTTTTTAAATTCCTTGCTGCAGGCCAGGAGTCAAACATAGTTCAAGTGAACGGGACTTTGACTATTTATTTTAATGAACAAGGATTTCATCCTATAAATTTAATAATCTAACTTCTCTCTTTGTAAGACATCATATGAAGTACAGAATAACACATTTCCATCAGGTGAGAAATAACAGGTCTTTTGCAAAGGAACCTGAAGTTTCTTTATTTGATGAAACACTACTTCTGGAAAAGACTACTATTGCATATGAAAACAGAGAGAACAGTTCACAGTTAAGTGTTGAAAGCAAACATTCTAGCTCTGAGAAGCACACAACAAAAGCATTCAGTAGCAAACTTACCCATAACCATTATCCACAATCTTTTTCACAAAATCCACAATTTCTGGCACATATTCACTAACCCGTGTTAAAACATCTGGAGGTAAAACCTATAGATAAAAAGTAGAATTTTATATGTTTTTATATATAAATATTTATACATATGCAAATACACATTAAAAATATATATATAATGCATTGGTTAAAAATTGGCTCAAAAGCAAGTGACAGCAGAATCTAAGACTCCTATTTCAAGCTTTCTTCTCTGAAACAATGTGCTGTGGCCGTTTTTTCCTCAGTCTTTAAGGTGCTGTTAAAAACAAACTACTGCAGGAGATGTCAGCTCTTCCACTTACTGCACTTCTAACAGAACAGGCAACAAGTCCCCCTGCTTTGCAGGTAAGTAAACAAATCTTCACAGATCTGAACCATTGCACATGACATGGCATTTCATCCGTAACAAATATCTGCCCTTGATTTTTACCACTGCATAATTTCTCAGTAGCTGAAGACTGACAAGTAGTCAGTCTAAATGCTGAGGTTGGCAGGGCTCTCTTGTGCAGCTATAACAGACTCCATCTCAAACTTGTGCTTCAGTTTATGGTTACAAGCCCATGTTAGAGTAAGGGAAAGGGATGGAGTGCACAGGTCAAACTCAATCACCAGTTAACTGGCTCTAATAATATACACAATGGATTTAAGATTGTTGGGAGGGAAACAGAGCAGATGCTGATTTAACAGCTACCTATTCACATTAAAGGAAATACTTTATCAATAAGCTTGAATTATGAGGTTTTTTGAAAGCTATTAAGGAGCTAAATTGTATTCTGGGTTTTATGAGGCATGGCACACACACCTTTACAACAGAAAACAGTTTGTTTACTTACGTTGAGCGCTTCCATATCTTTATGAAATTCCCCCTCCCAGAATTTCGGAAGCGTTGAGAATATGGAATTGTCAGTCACCTGACTGCCAAATTTTGTGTCCAACCAGTCAGACAGCAAATCTTTGGCTTCTTCCAACAATATCTATAAAACAATAATTTTAAGTGCACCTGATCAAGACTTGCCCTGTTTAAACTCTGCACAAAGATCTTATTCCGAGCAAAGAGGTTTGCTTAAGGAAAAAGACATTTGGCTACGAATACAGAGAAATCCATGCTTCTACCAGATTTTTATCATATTGCCCTTTGTAAATACGGATGAAACAAACAGAGAAAGGAAGATAAACTGATAAGTGATATCTGTTTTGATATCAATCATTTAAATAGTCATGTGGAATTCACACTGTAAACATCGGATGGGACCTGCAATTATATCACATCATCTGTTCCCCCCATTACTACTGGATAATCTTAACAGAAGCCTTGCTGCGCACGCTGGTAAAAAAAGTGTTTAAAAAACAAATTTGAACATCAACAAGGACACATTTCAATCTTCTATTAAAAGATAAGATTTTTTTATAATAGGATATTGCCCAGAAGGTGTGATTGTTTAGATTTTAGTTGTTTTTAAAATTCTGTTAGGTCAGTACACATTTTTATAAAGGCATCTGATATTAGAATAGTTGGACTTTTAAAAGATAATTTAGAGACACTCTTCTCAAGGCAGCAGCACATAATCTATGCTTCCTACAGTAATTATCACAAATAATGTGAAAGCAAGAAAGGATGAAAGTGGAAAACAATTACTAAAAGACAGTAGTTATATTTCCTGACTTGGTTACTGGGACAGTATCAAAATCCAATAAAGTCAACAGGATTATTGTCAATAAATGTCATGGTCTTTGACTAAAAATTATCCTGAGCGTAATTTTTTTGGATGTATTTTCTTCTCTGATCACAGACAGAAACACTTGTGTAGAAAACTGCCACCAGTACTAGAATGTCATAAATGCACGTTCAGTAATTTATACTGAAACTAATTCATCAAGACAAAAATGTCAAAGAGAAAGTCTAAATATAGCTAATTCATTGATAAAAACTGCATCCAAAAACAATATAGTTGAATTCAAGGATCAAGTTTCCTGTATTTAATGCAAAGTACTAAGAAGTCTTTAAGCCCACCAGTCCTCTTTTTATGAATAAAAATTTCCATAATGTTTCAGGGAATTACTACAAGCTAAATATTATTTTTAAAACCCTTAAAAATTGTAAGCCAAATTAATTTAAAAAGGAGCTCAAACTGACCTCATGACATCTGTTGATCTCTTCTGCAGGGAGTTTCACTTGCACAGCTTCTTGTAGAGGGTCAAAAGCAGACTTCACTGCATTTTGAATTCTTTCCAACATTCGCTTTTTATCTGGGTCTGTTGTCTCATTTAATTTAACTGAAAAGAGCTACAATTAAAAAAAAATTTAGAAGGCAAGTTCCAGTACAGGAGCGCTATGTTCCATACACAATATATTAACTTAGCCACAGAGTACCTTGCTAGTGATGAATAATATACCACATAAGAAGCTTCAGTATCAAACCACTGAAACATACTGCTCATCGGAAATAACGGTGAAGTCAAAAGAATTTAGTTCATATACAAATTCAGTTTTTCAGAAAGACTTTATAAATTACCACATCATCATTACTGTTGTTTAGTAATTTTATGCAGTAAATCACCTTAATTACACAACTGATGATCACAAATCTGAAAAGGAGAAGCTTTAACGTGAAACATAGAGAGATTAAATGTTATGGATAGAGAGTATGTCAGGCAATGACAGTCTGGCAAAATTTCCAGGCCTCCTATTCCCAGGTCTGTATTCAATTCATTAGACTGATAATCTCTCTGTGATCTCTAGTTCTTAAAACGACCAGAGAATCGCCTTCCCCCACCTTCAGTCCTTGCTCCTTCCAAGGCCATCAATGGTACAACAGGGAAATTTCACAAGCTTTATAAGATTATGGACATACCGCCATTTAAAAACTATTCTAAAGGGTTAAAGTTTGAATTCTAACACACAAACATCCAAATGCTTTTTGAGCTTTTCCCCCAATACCCTCACAACAATATACACGCACTCCAAAGCAAGTTCTATTGACATAAAAATCAGGCGCGCCTTTTACACGGGTAGTTCTCTTCAATTCTAAAACAACGGAAACATCTAAGCAACAGGCAGTTCCAAAAACATTTCCAGTTTGTGTGGTACCAGTTCAACAGAATAACTGAAACAAGCAGAAAGTTTAAGGAGACAGTAGTTAGAGGCATTTTTTAGATGCCTTGCTGCATTATTGAGTAAGAACCTAAGACACTAGCAGGGATTAAATACCACACACACCTCTGAGGCAGTTTTAACATCTTCAAGTAGCTGAGCTGGTGAGGATTGGTTCTCTCTATATCGTTCAAAAAGGTAATTTTGTCTTGCTCTCTTGATGATCTACAAAGCAGAAACGTGAAAATATTTTTGTGAAGTGACACATAGTTATAGAAAGCACAACTAAAATCTATTATACACCAAAGGCTTTTCAGAATCCCTATAAATTTAACAAGCTACAAGAATTACATCCAGTAATACAAATTAAACATATCATACGTAGTTAATCAGCTATCTCAACAACGGGCAAATAAAATAAGTTCTCTTTGTAAAATGCTTAAGCTTCATTAGTTATGACAACACTCATTTATAGACAGGAATACAGGCTTTGCTACCATAGGAATGCTACAAAACTGAGAAAAATCAATGACTTGGTGTACAAAATGTACATCTAAGTTAATAAGTATAAGATTTATCTTGGCTTATCAAATGGCAATTATATATGACTCTCTGACCTTCATGCTCAAAGTACAGTATTTTAGAATGCAATTTAAAAAGACCTTACCTTATCATCAATATCTGTAACATTCATACAATAGAAAATGTCATATTTAAAATAATCCCTCAAGATTCTTCTCAGGATATCAAATGAGATGTATGACCTAAAACCACAAAAGATATAGGGGTGTTTTTAGTGAACACCTCAAGCCTATTTCTGTTCTATGCACTAACTAGTTAAATCTCAGAGTCAATAATTTTACAGGTTTAATTTTCCCTCATCTACTAGTGAGTTTTTAATCACCCAATGAGATATTACAATATGCTTTTAATATTAAATCTCAAGTACTGAGTCTAACGAGACTATTTTCTAGTAATACACTCATCTAAATAAAGTACCTAATTCTATTCATCTTCTGCTTCCAATAGGCACTGTTATTACCTATATCAAAATAAGGAACTGCAGTACCTGGCATGTCCCATGTGAGAAGCATCATAAACTGTCGGACCACAGCAATACCACAAGACCTTTTTTCCATTCTGAGGCTGAAATATTTCCTTAATTGAAAGGAAAGGTACAGTGATCAGAAGAAACTGAAGACATGAACTCGGGCCAGTAATACAACATTTGGAGATTGGAACGTGAAAACATGCATTATAATTACAAAAAAAGGAATAGTTATTTCACTCCCACTTCTACCATAAGAAAAGACCACCACTAGCTTTATCATGTAAGAGACATAACAGGGTCTGGCTGCTTATGTTACCTGCACTCTTATCAGCCAAGCTATCAGATTACAAAGATTTGGACTAGGCAGGGCTTTATTTAAGCTGTAAAAGCAACGATCAGGCTTTCTTTTGCATTGAAAAAGGTGACAGAGTATAATCACTTCACACATATTTGGATACTGCAACCCATATAACATTAGCATTCTTAATATTTCCTCTCTGTCCCAAAGCACCTTCAGACAAGATCAGAAGAAGTTTTACCAGTTTATATTACAATAATATAACTGGTGAGACTTTTTTTACACAGGCAACGTTTAAAAGAAACTGGGATTTTATTCTGTTCACATTCCTATACTTATGTGAATTACAGTTGAACCCCTGTCTATTCTGCATGATGATATCTTGCAATTGTGAACTATATACTATGCAATATACACACACATACACACACTTGTAGTATATGTATATTTATTGTGTATTTTCTAACACTTGCCTCAGCAAATACACTTGTCTGACACAGTATCTCTGGCATGTGCTTGTTAACAATCTCAAAATACAATCCAGAAACCTATCTACTGATACGGTAAACACTTAAGAAACAAATATTTGGTGACTTCTCTATTTGTATTTCTATGAAAATCTCCACTTTTCTTTCATTTAGTCACCTTATTGCGAGTCAGGCTGTTGTAGAGGCAGAGCCTAGAATGTTTTGTCCCTTCAGGAGGAGACCAGGAGGGCTGCACACGCTTGCCTTTACCTAGGGCAAAAAAAAGTTTAAGCAGAACTGAAAAGACACTTTCCGCAAACAGATTTTCAGTATTACATTTTCTCCTTATCAGATCACTAGGTTATTTCAAAAGACAAAAAACACATATAATTAGACAAAGCAACTCCAATCTTAGTAATCCAGCTACTTCTGTTAAAGCTTCCTAGAAAGCCACCAAAAATAAATTATTTCAATCTAGTTTATTTTCTACTCTCCAAATTGCTATTCCTATCAGCTTTTGATGCAAGTAACAGGAAGGAAGATGGCTCAAAAGTGAGAGCATGCAATTCAATTCAAGCATTAAAAAGAGCTTTGAAATTTAATGAATTATTAATAAAGTGTTATGGGAGTCCTGGGCTTTCTGCAATGCCACTGATTTTACTGTGATGGTATGTCACAGATCTCTCACAGACTTTGCAAAAACTCTCCAGAGACCAGAGTTAGTCTCTAGAGCCAATATTGACAGAGTATGTGTACTCAGGGTGAGAGGGAGGGGAGATGGAAAGGTTTAGAAAGAACCTCAGCTTTTTATCATACATTGTTGCTATGTACACAGGGCGTTTTTGAACACACTCATTTACTACAAATATGCTCCCACTCAGCAAGAGGCTACATTTTGCCATTAAAGAGAGTAGATAAAACCCAGGCTAGTATTAGTGACAATATTCTCACACTTTTCAATTTTTAAAAAGCAACATAACTGTTCAACTCATGGGTTTTCCAAACAAAAGTATGAGTATGTAATCTGTTGAAGAGCTGCAGTTTGTTATACACAGGGCTGCTTACACATGTAATGATGTTAAACTAATTATCACATTAACTAGGAATGAAAGCAAACCAGGAAATTCAAAAATACAGCAAGGTTGCCAGCTTAATACACACAGCACTGTCTTCAGGAATTCTCATGGTATGCATTTTAACTGCAATTAAAATATTATACAAACTATTTGTTTTGACAACAAAATTTCCTTTCTCGTGGTGTGTCTCCGAGTGCTCTTCATTAACTGTTTCCCTGATATCTTAGTAATAATATTTTGGCTGAAAACCTTCAAGTAATGTAAACATTCATAGTATAAAAAAATTTAATCTCTTCCTCATCTTCCTTTTTTGAATAACTGCCTAAGTAAGAAGATATTAACTGTAGTACTCTGTCTCACAAATGGACTCCATATAATCTCTATATTATGGATCCATGGAAATAAGTGTATATTCTAAAAATTTTGTTGTATGGGGTATTCCTGAACAGAATACCTCAAGTTCAAGAGCAGTCTATCCATACCACAGACTATATACCAAGGTATGGATTTGTTTACTCTTTGATTTACACAGATTATGGCAGCATGCTTAACTGTGGCTAACGTTTCCCTCAGGGAAGGAAGCCTATGTGGGTTAGTCTAACAAAAGACAATTCTGTAAAGCTTGCTTTATTTACAACCACATTAAACATAAGAAAAACCCCAGATACTGCACCCTAAAGTTCTCAGCTTGTGAGTTAAGTGTCACGTTATATCCAGTACATGGACATCAAGGGCAAAGTAAAAGGCATACTGTTTAGTCTGTTTAAATACACCTCTGCCAGCTATAGTCTTCCCCCTGGTTGAACTGCGGTTCATTTGCTCCTATCCACCCCTGCAGCTCTCTGAAACTCTCAAAAAAACACCGATAAAATATCCAAAGTCTAAGAAGTGTGGCAGATTCACGTGTCCTTTTCACAGAGAACACTGCAGAATACCATTTCAGGACTTTTGATATATAAGCACAGATCATGAAGATGACAAGACATAACCCTTCAGAAAGAGAGACTTAACACCAAAGATTTCATGGACAGGAAAACAGAAATCTTTTCTCGTATTGCTCCGCCCTGATCCATGAAATTCTGCAGACAAATTGTAGTTAGCAGCATTAAATCTGCTATCAGAGCCAGGGGTACAGCTGAGATCCCTTCATTGCTGAAAGGAAATCAATAACCAGCACAAACGCAATGCAGGCATACTCTCGTACACAGAATCTACTCGCAGCAGTCTGATTTTAACTGCTGGTCTGCGAGGAATTGAGAACACATACGATAAGAGGTTGTGAGAAGATGGCGTTCGAGTAATATTAGTCAACAACCATCAGCAAAAATGACAGACATTACGCATTCATTTGTAGGTATTGCAAGCACTATACAACAGCTCTGTATTATTATTATTATTTCATGACTCCCCGAGCAAGGATCTCGCTATAAAGCAATCAAATTAGACTAGCTCCCTGGAAAACAACTCAGAAGAATGATGCAGCTCCCAAAAATGCCAGCACCCATGCTTACACAATGACCTAGATTAACCGGTTAGTATTTCCTCAAATCATCAGCAATGCGTAAATTACCAGGGTTAAAAAAGAAGCCCACACATTCTTTTTGAAATTCAGTGTTAATAACAAATCATAAGAGGCAGTATTCACTTTACTTTATTACGAATTTGTATATTATACAACTATTTAGTTAGCCTTGCAGGGAAAGAAAAATGGACTGAGCAAATCCTGATACTTCAGGGAACAAGCCAAAACCCACACATTCTTTTACAGTCCAGTGGCTAACTTTTTTAAAAAAATATACATAATCGAATTCTGTACACTGAGGAATTTTAAAATCAATGAAATGTGGAAAGGGAGCTTTAACATTCAAATAGGTCAGGATGTATCAATTACACAGTAACTGTATGGAAGAAAAATTTCATGACCTTGAATATAAGTTGATACAGTAAATTTTAAAGCGTGCAAGAGTATGAAAGGGAACTTCTAGGAATTCTCAGCAACAAAAACCAATACAATGTCAGCTAATCTATAACCTGCCCACCAGTTTTTTATTACTCACTTGTTTGAAGTTTACAAGGCTCATTTTTTTCACTGCTGCCATCATAGATTGCTTCTATGTGTCTGTACCACCGGACAACATGGATATACTGGTCCACAGGTGGCCCCGAAAACTTTTTGAATACCTCCACATCTGCATGTGAAAATGTGAACCCCTGGATATAACTACGAGTGCTCAGGTACTCGTTCAAAGCCTTCACCCTGGCTTCCTCTTCACTAATGCTCAGAATAAAACTGTAGCTGGAAGCTGTAAAGAGAGGCACAGGACATTTGGTCAGCATTAAAAGAAGAAGGAGATCCCATGACCAAAATATATCCTTACACTATACATCTCCCCTCTAAAGTAGCTCTGGCAAATGACAAGAAATTTGAGAAAAATATATTTAATACAAGCAACTGAGTAACTATATATTTCCTGCTAACAGGACCACGTTCACGCTGTGGTAAGTTTTTTGGAGAGATCGTTACAAAGCGCAGTAAGGACAAAAGCACAGGTCCTTTCCATGAAGAAATATCATCTGCTTGAAATTGGAGAAATTTGTTTACACACAGCAAACCTAATCAGTCACTCTTTTCCATGCAGCTAAAACACTCATCCTGCAAATATTCAATATGATTAATTTTATAGACTGTGGATAGGCTGTGAATACGTCTACTGAAGTTGAGCATATCCTTAAATCTTTGCAGGACTGGTGCCCATATGCATGCTCCCAGCATGATGCTCAGTTACTCCTACTTGCTCTAACAACTCAAAGCTTAACGTGTTACTGTATCATTGCTGTAGTATTCATATTTTCCTGTATTTTCCATACAATGACACAAAGTTTGTAACTCCGTTCGTGTTCAAAGTGCTGTGTAAACATTAAGCCGATCCTGCTTAGGTAGTCAGCCAAGAAGGTAATTTAAGATCAGCCAAGGTCATAGCAAAATCAAGTGTGAGGTGCAGTACGAGAACACCTGTCTCTGCTCCCAAACCCCGACAGAGACCACTGCCACCAGTGTCGCTTCTTACACCCGCACAAATATCTTCTGCATGAGCAGCTTCCAAAGCTTTGGAGGTGCTCACAGACCAACACTCTTGGAAAGCGAAGGATGAAAGGAGACGGGGAAGTGATGGCTAGGAGACGATGTGAGGAACTGCAGAACTAAAGTTTTTCCAAAAATTGTCAGTTAAGACCTTATGAGCAGCTTATTTCCTATATGGAAATCAATGATTAAAATCTTCTACAGGAACACAGGATGACAGGGAAATGACACCTAGATACCAAGTATGTTTGTGTTTAACTCTTCTGAGTATAAATAATATATAATGGCACACCAGCAGAACTAATTAAAAAGATCAGTGAATAAAAACCCAAAAAAATCAGAGGTCACAAAAGATATTTAAAATTCATACAGAAAAGCAGTCAGATTCATGTAAAGTCTCAATCCTTCTCAAGGGCTATCCATGTAATTGTTCAGTATAAATAAGGAATAACAAGTAAATAATGGTTCATAATGAGACCTTATGGGCTTGCCTTACCTAGCTGAACGGTATTCAGCTTCAGCTTACATAGTTAATTTTACTATAAACTTTTCAGCCTCCTAAATATTTACTGATGTTTATCATCACAGAACTTCACATGTTTATACAAATGAAATAGTTTGAAATAGTCACATTCATTAACTACGGAAACCTAAGACATAAGTCTTCCTTGAACGTGAATTTTGTAGCCATGAATCACACGAGGGAGAAGGCCAAAAAAAAGCATTACAGGACTGATCTGTGTAGAAATGAAACTATATCTCAAAGAAAAGATCTTTAAAGATCTATTGCAAGGAAAGCAACACTCAATTTGCAAAGTATTATTAGGGTTATTATGACCATTATTCACACACCAGGCTGCTAATGGGAAGCAAGTTAGTGTATCTGAAACAATGTAAGTGCTTTCCAACCACATCTTTAAACCAATCTAACAGGGAAGTTGCACAAACTTCCACACAAATACAACAAAGATGACAGAACTCAGACAAGCTAATTTTGGTGAGGAGAGATGGCAAATACTGCTGGTGAATGGCGGTACCAGCTCAGCCCTGATAAGCAGAGCAGCCAAAATTACTTTGAACAATCTTGGCATGCACATTAGTACTTGAAACTGTAAAGTTTGACGTTATGTCTAGTTGCAAGAACAACAGCAGACTTTAAAGTGTAATACATCAAAGAAACCAGTTGGCCCAGGGGACCTAACAGGAGGAAGTCTTTATGTTGAGACTGATCACGGACTCAAATTCAGCCCAAACTCACGTCCATGACTGCGCACCACAGCAAGCGCAGGACAGCACGAACACACCTGAGCCGTTCTTGGCACAGGGTGCAGCAGCAGCTGAGCCACAGTAGTCTCAAGCTCCCAGCCGGCTCACTGTACCAATACAAGTTTTCAACATTGGTTTCACAGGCTGTGGTGAGCTCCAAACTTCCTTTTCTAGACTGACAGCTACTTTTCAAACCATGACATCTAGCTTAAAGCTAGCACAGGTGTGTTCTACTCTCTGCTGCAGTCATGCAGAGACACAAGCAAGTATGCAGTGTTTGAGAGAATGTTGAGTTATCAGTGCAACTCTGAAATACCTCTGAGCGTCCTATTTCAGTACACACAGAATAAAATCATTCCCACTTCTGGCATTCTTGTGAGTTGCTCCAAACTGGACTGAACTAACAAAACAAAAGCTCTTCTCCAGAAGCACAGGGTGCTCTCCTGGGAAGCAAGGATTAATATGATAACACTGTCCTTTGGAAGGCAGTACACCAGAGGACCATTTCTTTTCAAGCAAAAGAAATCAGTCAAAACTATCTTTATGAGTCAGCCGGTTGTCAAACGTAGTTAATAACAATCAATGGATTCAAAAACTATTGAGGGAGAAGGGCCAATAAACACATACAGGTCTGAGCTGCTTTACCCCTGTTGCTTTAGGAAATCAGGCTAAGAAACAGCCCTTCCCTCTGACCACAATTTTTTTCCCCTCCCAAAACAAAAATTGCAGTTGCTTCAACTCAGTTGCATTAGGAAGTGTCTTCTCGACAGCAGAAAAGCAGGAGTGTTACAGAGCTGTTGCATAACACTGAAAGTTAACTCATGTGAATGGAATGATCCGTTGACATCAAGCCATCACTCAAGAGCAACTCCGTTCAGAAAACAAGCCCTGAGCACCAGTATTGGATAGGTAGCAGAATAACCTTAAAAAATCGTTAGAATTAATGTTAACAAAGTAATGCTCTCCCTGCACTAAAAAGCTGTTTCAAAAAAATTCCACTGTAGGCATTAATACAGTTCTCACAGAATAAATGCCAATGTACAATCTCTTTGGGCAATATAATGGTCACGCATTCTTCTTTCCATGCATGGAGTGCTTCGGAGACTCCTAAAGAACACTGGGAATTTGTCTGCAAGACTGCAGCAACACACAGAGTCCAAGGCATAAGATCGCATCCATGTTTTATTTGCACATAAAATACCATTTGAATTTAATCAAGATATGTAACCCACACAATATCTAATCTGATGGAAATTTTTCACTTAGATTAACTTGAAAATGGAAACCTCTGTTTCTTGAAGATGTTGACAGTAAAGTAAATATGGAAAAGCCATAAAGCAGGCAGTAAGCTAACTGACACAAAAACAGGGAGTTACTTTGCTTCAGGGAAAAATTAGGTTTCCTGGGATTCCCTGAACCTGCTAACCTTGTCAGTCATACTTAGATGACAACTGAAATATTCTGGGATTTTTGCAGAGGCACTCTCTGAGAAGAAATCTTAGATGTTTCTCAAATTTGAAAATGTGATTTATCTTCCAACTTGGCTTTCACAGATTTAAAACAACTTATAAAAGATAAGTGTAACATGCCTCATTATTAATACGGCTCCAAATTGGCCATTTATCATTCCAGCTGGCCACTCTGGTAGCTTTGGAAAGAAGTCCAACTGTCTGCTCAGCCAAGACAAATTATCCTTTTCTACAAAAATTTCAGAAGAACTGAACCAATGCAGCTTCCCATCTATCCAAAGCACAGCATACACACAGAGAGACAAAGGACTTTTGAGACTAACACAGAAGAATCGAGAGGCTTTTAGCAGAGCAGGATTTTTAAGGCAGGAGTATCCCATCAAGGAAGAACTTGTTGGTCCTAGTCACTTCAGCCCTGTAAGTTTCACTTTTCCTGAACTGAAACTAAATGTAACAATCACAGTCTAAGTAAAAAGTAAATACTGTTTGTCCATTATTGTACCCAACTAAAAAGTTTCTTGAAGCATGCCTCAACTGAGCCTCTTTCCCCCCCCCCCCCCCCAAAATAAGATACTGAAAACAAATCTGAAAAAGCTAGTCTCTTGAGAAGAATAAATGCTTCTGGGCTCTCTTACACTGGAATGTTACTTGTGATGAACAAACAGGAGATTTGCTTTCAGTAACAAAGAAAAAGGGGCAAATCTTTGAATCTACAGATCCTTAACTGGAATGACAGAAATTTCCAACCCCTTGCATACCATAATGGTATTTCATACTTGTATGACTGGTATTCCAAGTTTCCATTTGCTACAGTAGTGTCAAAAATTACAGGACTACCCTGGCCCTCCTTCCATATGGAAGCGCGCAGTATAACCCATCATTAAAACACGATCACAAAAATAAGTCCAGAAAAGTCAAAAAGTTCAGGCGTGAGTTCAAGGGAGAACACAGACGACTGGGAAAGGCAAGTAAGAGAGAAGGAAGAAGGCAAAAGCGAGCAGACGATGTGGTGATCAGCGCACAATGGACCGAGACACCTCTTCGAACCCATCAAGCTGGAGAACGGCCGCTTCCAAACTTCAGCGCCCAGAAGCTGCGGGTTCGTTTTCTTTGCTTTTCCCACAAATCACCGTGTGCCATCGTTAACCTTCACGTTACCAGGCGAGGCATGAGATCTGGTCTACGGGCACCAGCGCGAGAGGTGCACGCACAGACCCTCCCCAGGGACACCCGCACAACAACGGCTGG